CACACACACACACACACACACACACACACACACACACACTAACAAAGATGACATGCTACATTACAAAACAAAGAACAAAACCCATGTGACCATCTCAAAAAATGGAGGAAATGTCTTGGTAAGTTTAGACATCTATTCAGGCCTAACAATTTCGGATTATCTGTGAAAGGAGTGCACCTCAGCTGAAGGCTGTATATGACAAGACCACAGATAACGCTATGAACTGAAAAATATTCTACATGCAGAATCATATTCTCAATATAGTCCCAGAATTCAAGTGACTGGTTCAAATGGCATGAATATTTTAAAATTATCAGTCCTTACTAAAATCTTGTTTTCTACAGCTTTGGTTATGTGAGCACTTGTTTCTCTGCCTGTTTCCAGATTTTGATGTTTTCAGTGTTGTCTTTGTTCTGTTCCTAGAGATTTAGAGAGCTTATTATTTTAATTTTCCTTGAAGACAAATGAAACTTGCTGTATCCTTTGTTTGTGCAGGAGCACCTGTTTGTGTATGTGTGTGAGTGCATGCATGCTTGTGTGTGTGTGTGTGTATTAGAGTCTCTCAGTGGTCTGAAAATCATCAAATGGAATATACTGGTGACTAGAGAGTCACAAGGTCTCACCCAGCTATTCTCCTCAGCAGTTGGACAAGAAGAGTGCACTAGCATGCCTGGGTTTTACACAAGTTTTGGAGACTGAGCTCAGGTTTTCATACATTCTAGGCAATCACTTTATGGACTGAGCCACTTCTCGGGCCCACAAATGTGATGGTTTTTATAGTGCATTTCCTTTTCAGTGTGTTAGCTAGTCTTTCCCCCTTTAACATCTGAATTGTTTCACAGCTTTTGGAGGTAGGCTTATTTAATTGGGTATTATGCACTTAGTCTGTAAACTTTTTCTTTTTTTTCAAATCAAAAGATTTTTTTCCCCCAGTGAAACACAGCATAACTTTTTCCCTCGTTAATAATTAGCAAGAAATTTGCACCATGACAAAATAAAATGCCTGTGCATTTCAGAAATAGATTAACTAGGTTACTTTTTAACAAATGTAAGGTCAAAGAGTACTATAAAAGGTTGATTTTCCCCCAGTTACACCAGTCTCCTGAATGTGGCCTCTCTCTCTCTCTCTCTCTCTCTCTCTTTTTAATTTAAACATGAAACACTTAAATCATATACGCTTTATTTTTTTCCTGTTCTCTTTGACTGAATCCCTAGCCCTACCCACAAAGCCTCAGGACATAGGTAAGGAATTTACTTGTGTATCACCAGGAATGGCTAAATTAGAAGAATTACTTTTCTTTAGCTTTTAAAAAACTTTAGTTACACCCATGGTTTTATTTATTTTTCCCTCTCTTTTCTTAGTTTGTGTATGCTGGGCAATAATTTCAAACAACCTGCCACAGACTTTCATTCTGGTTGCCATATTAAGTATTCTACTAGGTATTTGTGCTCAGAAATAGCCAGTAGTTGGTATAAGAGAGAAAGTGTTGTCTTGAGATAGAATTTGGACTTTAAAATATTAGTATTTTTTTGTAGCAGACATATTTATTCTAATAGAAGAACAATATACACATACATACACATAAGTATAAAATTTATACATAATCTTTAAAAATAGTTTTGATTGTCCATCATGACTTTCACCTAGATGGTAAATACCTTCAGAGTAGATGAGACCCTGCTTTCTCCTTCATCTGTCTGTCTGTCTGTCTGTCTGTCTGTCTCTCTCTCTCTCTCTCTCACACACACACAGCAACAGACTATATAATGTGTTAGCCTGGAGGAAAGGGCAGTTTTTACATTTTATGTCCAAATGAGAAAACTTTGAAGTTTTCCTATCCAGAGGAAGGTCTTTTTAAATCCTTCTGACCAGAAAGTCACATATTCTGTACTTGAATATAATTTGTTTTATATCAGCCCAGAAAACATGCATTCAAGTGACATTATGCAGACTGAGCAGGCTGTATCTGTGTATTGAAAAAAGTATATATATACATACACATATAACGTATATAGCAACAATTAATAAAAAGAAGAGGCCATGAGTTTGAAAGAGAATAAGGAGGGATACGTGGAAGAAGTGGAAGAAAGTGGGCTGGGAATGGTGTAATAATATCATAATATTATAATCTCGAAAAAGAAATTAAGGATGAACATAATTCGCACAAAAGCATCCAGGATATCGCAGTGTTCCTGGCCTGTGTTTTATTCACCAGACCGTCCACGAGGTACCTGGTGATGCTAGTGAGGGGACCGTAGTGAAGAGATGCTGGTTCTTGAGGTCTGCCTCTGCTTTCCTCACATGACAACCCATTTCAGCTCCTGAGATTTTTGTCTATTTAATGGGTTTCGCGACTGTGCTTTCTCTTCTTTTTGTCGGTCCAGCTGTTTTTTGTTTGTTCTTCCAAAAGAGCAGTTACTACAGTCCCCTGGTGGTCTTCCGACTGTACCCCATCCAATTACTATTCCTTCTTTCTACTTGACAAGCAGTTCCTGTCGTGTTCCATTTGTTAGGCACCAACGGAGGGCCCAGCGCACGGGATGCCCCGTTGCCTGGTGTTTCTCAGTGTGTAAACATGGTCGTATTACCGTCCCATTCGAAGATCTCAATGCTTCCAACCCACACTTCTTGGGTTTACAGGCAAGATCGTCGTAACTCCCTCGTCATTATTATGAAATAGCTCGTGCTTCCCCAGATACGTCTCAAGGTCTCTGGCCGCTGCGCTTTTACTTAAATATTTCCTCTACGCATAAGACGGGGCATCTTACTCTCTCTTTACTTTCTGAAGTGTTTTCTCAGTCTTAATTCGTATGGCGCTCCCCCTAAATCGTTTCTGGTTCTTTGCTTTGGGATTAAAGCATTCAATGTTTAACTCTATTGTAAATTGGATTATAGTCATGTGTGCGAGCTGGTTCCGCTGCATGATTGCTCCAGGAAGGTGGCCTCATTGAGCAGTGTTGACTGTTCCACAGTGCCCAGAACAATGTTTCATAAAAATAACTACTCCAAAATTGTAGTCTGTGTGAGAGTTGTCGGGCGTGGTGGTACGTGTCTGTAATCCCAGCACTCGGGGAGGCAGAGACAGGTGGATCTCTGAGTTTGAGGCCACCCTGGTCTATAAAGAGAGTCCAGGACAGCCAAGGCTGCACAGAGAAACCCTGTCTGGAAGAAAACAAACACAAACAAACAAACAATTTGGTCTATGTGGACAAGCATAAATCTTCTGTGATCTGAGAAGATAGCTGTGATTTCGGGGGACCATAGAGATCACACGACTGAAAGCTGCGCTGACGGCCACCGGCCTTGCCTTGATGACATTACCTATCAGCTGATCTTCGTGTAGCGTCTCTTGTCATAAATGATAGGCACGTGACGTGGAGATGGCAAACCATCACTGGCAAATCTAAAATCTGGCCAGTTTGAGATTAAGTCAAATAAATTCAATAATTCCTGAATACACACTCACCTCTGATTAGGTCTCGTATTTTTTTGGTGTATGTGTGTGTGTTTTACATTCCTTGTTACATTTGTTAAAATATTTCTACCATAAGCGCTTTAGAGTCTCACACTTGAATGCCATGTAAACGTGAAAATATAACCTCAATGACTTTGCTTTTCAGATCACCTCAGTGCTACCCAGAAATTCATAGACGAGAACACTGCTTACCTGTGAGTTGCTCTGGATCCCTTCCCTTTGATGAGACGCTTCTTGTATTGTTATAGGACATGTTCTAGGAAAGCACAAGCTGCTCAAATGTAATTTAATTACACAGCAGCTGCATAAAGAGTAAACGCGCTCAGCCTTTTCTGTGAGTTATTTTTAGACACAGCTAGAAATTCTGCAGAAGATCACTGTGTGCCCTCCCTGAACCGTTGCAGGACCATTATCGCAGTTTCTCAGTATGTTCAGGAAGCATCCTTTGATGAGGTGGAAATGCTGGTGAGAGCCATTATGGATCACAAGAATAGGTGCTTGGCTGATAGTACACTTCCAGAGTGTTCAAAAGTAGCTGTAAGTAAACTGCTTGTGATTTTTTTTTATAGTTTATTTACCTTTATTTTATGTGCATTGGTATTCTGTCTGCATGTAGGTCTATGTGAGCGGGCCCAATCTTGGACTTACACACAGTTGTGCGCTGCCATGTGGTGTGGGTTCTGAGATTTGAACCCAGGTCTTCTGGAGGAGCAGTCAGTGTCCTTACTCACTGAACCATCTCTCCAGCCCCCAATTATTATCTAAACAAGACATAAGAATGCTGCTCTAGACACATAGAATTTCATATTTAATCTTGTGTGTCTCTGTGTGTGCCGTACATGTGTGCATTCCAGAAAAGGCTGTCAAATTCCCTGAATCCCGAGTTACACGCAGTTGTGAGCTAACAGTGTGGGTGCTGGGAAGCACCCTGAATGTTGAGCCATCTCTCCAGCCCTGACACAAGATTTTTGTTTTGCCTAATTTCAGTATTTAGGGCAAGGTACTTTCCTAAGGGGAAATGCAGTTCTGTCTCGTGATACATAGGGAGACTGAGCTATGCACTTTCAGTCTCTATGCCTATGACTCGTTGACACTTTGTAATATCTACATGGGCGAAAGAAGGGGTAATATTCTCAGATACCTGCAAAGGGTCAGAGGTTTTCTTAGTTGTTTCTCTTGCTGTGTGCCCTGCCATCACATTCCCTCTTCTGGACTGACTCCACATGAAATCTCAAAAAATGGCTGACCACCATGACCAAAGCCACATTGACTTTGTGACTTTGGAAGATAAGAAGAAAATGCACAGAAGATGTTGTTTGGTGCCAAGGATAATCTACAATTGCCATTTTCAATTCAAAGAAGAGAGTTTACTAAGCATGTAGCAAGCAAAATTAAAAAAATAAAAAGTAACAGACAGACGCAATCATGTAAATGGGAAAAGAGTATCAACCCAGACGCTCACAGCATCTACAGAAGTGTCTGGCACAGTAAAATTGAAGAGAATAAACGAAGGGAACGTTACCAAATTGTAAAATACTCTTAAAATACTCAGCAGGAATGACTGGGGAAGCCCTTCTGAAAATGCCTTATTGGAGTTCCCAATAGAGTTCTTCAGGACATCAGTACTCTCAATGGATGAGCATCTGGCTTCTCCTCCCACTGCAGACATCTTTATATCAGGGGAAGAATGACAGTACCCTCTGTTAGAAGGAGCACAGTGTCGTTAAGGCTCTCAGCTGTTTGCTGGGCTCCTTTCTCCCCGTCATGGAATTAGGTGGCTAGCCTGCCCCAGACAGGGAATTTTAGAGGACAGGTTACATGCTTGAGTCTGAGACAAGCGAGAGCTTCCTCATTGAATCCCCCTTCAACAAGCTTAAGAAGCACATGACACCTTACTGACATGATGTCTACTACAGAACTATAATGTAAATGGTACAGAAATAGTAACAGGTGAAGGGGGCTTGCAGTAGGATGGGGTTTCTCAGAGTGTGGGAGAATCTTCAAAGGCTTTAGGTAAACACATCCTGTAGATAACTGTGTGGAAGCTGTAACCTTTCCCCCAAAGGTGACATTACTCTTCATTGTTTCCACTGAGCCTTCTCAGGAGGTGGAAGAGAGCTCCACCTGACAGAACATTGCCTTCTTCTCTCTCATCCAGAACGAGGCTATACAGGACTCAATCTGCGCTGTGGAGGGGCTGCCCCAGAAGCGTAACTTTTCTCACTGCTGTGAAAACGCCAGCATTCCAAGAAGACTGTGTTTCTTCTTCAACAAGAAAGCTAACGTGGGATTTCTACCCCCTTTCCCTACTCTGGATCCAGAAGAGAAATGCCAATCTTATAAAAATAACAGCGAATCTTTTCTAAACCAGTAAGTTTAATTTTGGTGCCAAAGGATTTGAGGTATTATTCTTACTAGGCTAAAATCTATTCTGTTTTTTTTTTTTTTTGAGCTTTATAATTTTATCTTTCAAGCAAGTTCTGCTTTTTCTTAATTTTTGCATGTGGTTTGTTGATGATTAGGCTGATTCATTCAATGTTTATTGTGTCAGGACCTGTGCTCAGTGAGGCTGTAGCTATGGACCTGCTTTTAAGACCCTTATGTAAGCGTCTTTTATCTTCTAATATGCAGGGAAGAGGGTATGCACAGATTTGAATAGCTAGGAAACATAGGGATGGAAGTATTTTCTTCTCAAGGGAAGTTTCAGATTTTACCTTGGGAAGACTTAAATTATTAAATATGTAGCCTCAAATTTCTTGCAATAGTATAGTGGATGCAGAAGGAAAGATTTTTTTTTTTCTGGAAAGCTCTTGTGCTTTGAAACAATCACAAGTTTGCTTAAACTTAACTTTTTTATTTAATCATTTTTACAGCCTGATCCAGGCCCCTCCCTCTTCCAGACCCACCCTCATGCCTACCTCCTCTCCTCTCAGACATGATCTGTTTAGATGACTGTTTTTCTCTAATATGGTAGGGACAGACTTCCTATGTCACAGGAGGGAAGGAAGGAGAATACACACAGTGCAGAGTTCAGGATGAGAACTGCCAGGGTCGTCCTTAATTTCGAGTTAGCGGCTCCAACGTTAAGGGCTGGAAATTACCGGTTCTGCCGTTTCCTTCATTTTTCCAACTTGCTTTTCTTGCCATCTTGTTCCCCTCTCTTTCTTTCCCTTGTCAACCATCCTGCCCCTTCTCCCTTTCCCATCCTTTTTCTCTTAAAAGCCTTAATGTCTTCTAGCTATATGTATGAGGTTGCCAGGAGGAACCCCTTTGCCTTCGCCCCTGTTCTTCTAACTGTCGCAGCCCGGTTTGAAGAGGCAGCCACCATGTGCTGTGAGCAGCAGCAGAAGGCCACCTGCTTTCAAGCCAAGGTGAGTACTGCGTTTGTCTCCTCAAGAGGAGGAGGAATCTGCTGATGCCACAGCTCCAGATCTTCCCTTAAAATGAAACGTTACAAAACAAAAACAAAAACACAACAACAACAACAAAAACCCATGCCTGCCGTACTCAACATTATCTTACACACTCACTGATGTTAGAAACGTACTCTTCACTAGAAACCCTTGAGAGAGATTCACTAATTGCCAGGTCTCACTTTTGGCTTTGTTTCCCTTATAAATTGGAAGAAAGTCCAATTGTGCAAGTGTCCAGGGTAAATGGTGATGTGGTGCCTTTTGTCTGTGACAACCTGTCTTTTGGCATTAATGATAAGGTGGAATCACGCCAGTAGTGAGAGTCTACTCAGGGAACATACTACAAGCCTTCTCCTACCGAGTGCCATGCTGTCATCAGGAACATTGACCCTACTTTTTTAATGTGCCACAGATTCAAATTTCTCTCAACATGCAAACTTACTAAGATAAGAAGCCCATGTATTTTCTGTAGCTGGAAATTTTCTGGAGTAGTTTCTTTACATGTAATTCAATTACTAAGAAAACAGTGAGATGTTGGTCTTATTTCAACAGAATCTTCTTTACCTTTCAGGCAGCTCCAATCACACAATATTTAAAAGCATTGTCTTCTTATCAAAAAACTGTTTGTGGAGCCTTTATAAAATTTGGACCCAACATCTTAAACTCTATGTGAGTTTTGTATTGTGTCTTTTTTATTTTCTTGCTTGTGACCCACATATTTTTGGTTGTTGTTGTTTATGTTAAATATCCAATGATTTTATTTCCCAGTTCTTGAGGGTTTGGGGTGGGTGAGTCTACCTGGATGGCTGAAAACAAGGTCATTAGGGCAAGATGGGAAAAGGCATTAGAGATGAGCAGATGCCACAGGGAAGGAGGCTGTTCTGAGATACACTTGTAAAGTTTGTGTGATGGTTTTTCTATAATTGCAGTCAGCTTACAAGGGATGTTTGGCTGTAGTAATTGTGGAAGACAAAGCCCTTCTCGGGCCATTTTTAGAATCAAGAATTGGAGGTGGTGATGGCAAAAATACCAGCCTGTGATGTGTGGGTCGCGAGCCCTCTGGGGGTTGAAAGACCCTTTTAAAGGGGTTGCCGAAGACCATAGTAAATATCGGTATTTATACTATGATTCACAGCAGCAGCGAAATTACAGTTATGAAGTAGCAATGAAAATGATTTTATGGTTGGAGGAATTGTATTAAAGGGTCATAGCATTGGGAAGGTTGAGAACCGCCGGTACAGACCATGTTATCAGTACCACCAGCTGTTAGATAAGAACATCCGTGGAAACCCTCATTCTCACGCAATTTGTGTTACAGAAGTAAAGGCCTTCTTCGTCTGTTGGCTATTCAAATTATTTTAATGTTCTATTAATGATCTTTCCAGAAACATTGCTGTATTCAGTAAAAAATTCCCCAAGATTGGGTTTAAGGACCTTACTTCCCTCTTAAAAGACGTTCATTCTATGTATGACGGATGCTGTGAAGGGGATGTTGTTCAGTGCCTCCGAAGCCAGGTAAATTTCCTTTAAAATAAAGCAAAACCCAATGATTTTTAGCACTTATTTTTTTAATTTTTTATATTCTAATTATCACATTAAGACTGCTCATAGCTATGAGGTTCGGTGCAATATTGTAACATACTGATGTGTAGAATGTACCCCGGTCAGCTTAGGTATTATCAGTCCGTCCTGTCCTTATGTTTAGATACTTCGAGGCTCCTCTCTGCTAGTTCCTCATAAAGTGGGCACCAGGTAATGGTGAACAGGGACCTCACCAGACTAGAACTCCTGTCGTCTGTCATCCTTAACTCTCCCTGTCCGTTGGTAAATAAAACAGAAGTCCCCACAAAGCCTCAGACAATGACATTATTATTACCTTTTTAAAAATGTTGCTTTCTTTGATTTTTCTAAGGGTTTTCTTTTTTCAAATAATTTCAAATGACATTCCTCTTTTTCTCCCTTTCATCTTTCCTCTCCTCCTTCCTCTTTCTTTCTAATTGACAAATAAATATTGTGTGTGTACACATATATAAACAAACATATATACACACAATATATTTATATATGTATTGATGGTATGAAGCAAAATATTCTAACGTATATATATTGTAAGTATGGCTAAAGCAAATTACTTAATATATATTTCTATATCATTCTCAGATACTTATGTTTTGTGGTAAGAGTACTTTCAATTTACTTCCCTAACAATTCTCAAATTATAAGACAGACTCTACTAGACATGGTCTATAAGATTATGTAAACATGGTAGCTATAGTCGCCATGATCTACAATAGAATTCCTGAAATTATTTCTCCTATAGATCTGAAATGTTGTTTTTGACTAACATCTTCCCAATTCTTGCTCTTACTCAAGCATCTGATAACCCTTAAAGTGATATTTTAAAGGAATATACCAGCAAACATATTGTTGCAGGGTTGAAATTGTTCGTGCACTTTAAAGGCAATACAATTTCATTAAAAATGCATGGATTTTGTCTTAGTTAAAATTAAGTTTTGCTGTGACGGCTTTAAATTTGTTTTACTTACAGTAAAGATGGTATATTGCTTAAATGACTTGATTTTTAGGGTGTTGGGGAAATATCTGCTTTAAATTAAGCAGTGGACAGAAGATGTCCTCCTATATTATTTTATTCTCAAATTTAATCCAGTTAAAGGGATGCCACTCATAATTTATTTTTGTGGTATTTGGTTTGTTTATGGAAATGTGGGTTTAATAATGTTAAATCGGATTTACTAAATTAGTATAATAATTTAAATTTTCTGTGGGTTGATGCTGAGACCACAGAATCATATTGTATTTCAAATTTCCTCCCCTTTAATGTCTTTATGGAGAAATGCAAGAAATTCAATTGTCATTAAGTGAAAATAGGAATGAATTCTTGGGAACTCAGGAAGTGCTGGGCCTAGAACAATACTGGTTTCAGACGAGATACGGGTGTTAGAAGTGTGGTACCAACTCCTATTCCATTCGTCACCTTAGCCTTGGACTCCATCTGTACTCCAGCCGCAAGGCCACCAGATTTCAGATAGAGGGATTATGTTGAGTCAAGTTAGGAAGACCCGAAGTACCCAGAGAGTATGGGACCGAGAAGGGTGAAGGTGCCAGAGACTCTGGAGAGGGACCTGAGAGCCAAGTTTGTTTATAAAATTAGCAATGTGTGAATAGATAGGCCTCGCTCCTTATCCCCAAGCTTTACGGAGGTTAGAATGATGATGAAGGATGAGAATGAGACAGGACAGGATTTCTCTCTTATGTACTATATACAAATTTACAGTAACCACATGAAAATGACTACATGAATAAGAAAGCTTCTTTTATCTGAGAAGTCTCTGCTTGGTAGTTTCTCTAATGGTAAATTTCCTAATCAGTCTTTGAGGTTTTTTTTTTTCCTGACAATATACTTTGATCACATTCTTTTCCCTCCCCTGACTAGATCCTCCCCACTTCCCTACCCATCCAAATTTATGTCCTTTATTTTTCTCAAAAAACAAAAACAAAAAAAACCAAAGCAAACCAGACCAAAGGCAATACCCAAATACCCAGAGAAAACCAAACCAAACAAGGGACACACACAAAAATGGAGTTCAGTTTGTGCTGACTAACCCTGCCCCTGAGCTTGGAGCCTGCTCTGGAATACGGTTGATAAAGCCAGTGTCATGCCATTGGAGAATACCGATTTCCCTCTCGCAGCAGAGAGCAGCTGTAAAGAGCGTTTTAGTTGGGGCTGGGGCTTTGTGTCCACTTTTCTCCGATGTGTCTGGAAGATGCTGTTTTCTCAGAAACATATACCACCTCTGGCTCTTCTAGTCTTTCTGCCTCCTCTTCCACATAGATCTACGGACCTTTTAAGGAGGGGTGTGATAAAGACATCCCATTCAGGACCCAGTGTTCCAAAGTCTCTCACTCCCTACACATTGACCGGTTGGGAGTCTCTGTGTTACTTACCATCCATTACAAGATCTTTGGGTATAGCAATATGTCCATTAGGAGTAATTTTATTGCTGTGTGAACTTTTACCAGAATCACAGTTGAGGTTTTTCCCCGAGGCCCATGACCTATCGAGTGGTGGGTTCTTGGCCTCTTTAGTGGTGTCAGTGTCTTCCATCTCGAAGAGTGGGCCTTAAATCCAATCAAAAAGCAGTTGAATACTCCCATAACATTTGTGCCACTATTGGGCCAGTGTATCTTGCTGGCAGGTTGCTTCTGTGGGTGATAGTGATGGTTACTTTTTGTCATCTGGTAGCATGCGCAGTATCTTCCAGCTCTAGAAATGCCAGTCAGTAGGGGTAAAGCTTCTGGTTGGGCACTGTCTAGATTTCTTCATGTTCAATGACACAAATAAGTGGTGTCTTCGACAATAGCGCCTTGCCAACAGGCTGTGGAGGGTAACCCATAGAACTTGTAATAGCCTATTTTGGTCCCTGGGACAACTTTGGCCAACAATTCAGCAAGATATAACCCATTCATGTTACTGGGGGTTTTACTTGTTAACCTAAGATGTCTAGTTGGGACATTTTCACCCTCATTGTAAGGTAACTCCATTAAATTCCTTCCATACCTGTATATATGTGTGTGTGTATGTGTGTGTGCATGTATATATATATATAAATATATGTAAATATATATATTTATATTTATATTTAGGAAGCTTCTGCCTAGTAGGTCTCACACGGCTTTTCAAAGGGCCTTTAGTTTTAGTTGTCCCCTCCTTTCCCCTTTCTGCCCTCTCGTCATATGATCCTTCTATTCTACTTTCTCCTTTGTTTCTTTATAACACTATGGTCCATTTCCTCTTCCTTGGAAGATCTCCTCCTTCTTTTAAAAGAGATTTATTATTTATATTTATGTCTCTATGTGTTTGAGCACCACGTTTGGGCAAGTGCTTACAGAAGCCAGGGGGCTTGCATCCACCGGAACTGGAGTTACAGGCAGCCACGAGCCACCATGTGGGTGCTGGGAACAGAACCTGGGTCCTCTGCAAGATCAGTCAGTGATCGTCACCTCTGAGCCATCCCTCTACCCCCCTAACCAAATTTTCATTCATTTGTCAAATGTTTGCGGCGTTGCTATGTCCTTGGAAAGACAGTTTTACTTCACAGGAGAACTAGCTTAGTAGAGGTCCATTACGGCATCTTCAGTGGCCCCCACAGAAAGCATAGAGAGGCCTCATGGGGCACAGCAACGTTAGAAGATGAGGTGAGAGTGAGACTGGTGAGCTGGCTCAGCGGGTAAAGACACTTGCTCTCGAGGCGGAGGACCTGAGTTTGGTCCCCAGAACCCTTCCGGTGGAAAGAACCAAATTCCACAAATCAGAAGTTTTCTTCTGATCTCTACACATATGCCATGGCAGGCATTTGTGTCTGCTTCCATAAAACTAAATAAATACTGTAATTAAAAAAATGAAGCTGTCAATGTATCAGAGAGGTGGGGAAAAGCACTTGAAACACTAACATTTAACAATGAATGTAAGTTTCTGAGAGAGCCTATTGTCTTTCATGATTATATGACCCAAATTCCTAAATAAGAGAAAACAGCTACACTAAGTGAAAGTTCATGAATATTAAGTGAACATGAAGTTTAAATGAATACTATCCGTCTAATCAGCTGATGTGCTAATGTTACATTCAGGATAGACTTTGTGAGCAGCCATTCTTTTATGAAAGAGAAGCCAGACCTGAAGAGAACCTAAAAGTCAAAACCTTTTTTGTTCTTTTATTTTTTTTGATACAGAGCCAGGTGATGAGTCATATTTGTTCAAAACAAGATTCCATCTCAGGTAAAATCAAAGAGTGCTGTGGAAAGAAAACACCAGAGCGTGAAGACTGTATAATCAACACGAACAAGGACGACAGACCTGAAGACTTATCTCCCAGAGAACCCAAATTTACTGACAGTGAAAATGTGTGTCAAGAACGAGATTCTAACCCGGACAAGTTCTTTGCTGAGTACTATACTTCTTTATTGAAAGTTGAGAAGGCAAACAAAAAAAATGCTGGCTGATTTGGGTGGAAGGCTAGGACATCATGGTTCACCGCAATCACACAATTTATAAAGATCATGGCTTGTGCAAGCAACATTTTGTACAACTTTAACTAAAAGCCATGATAGTATTATAGTGATGGCTGTGATTTACTGAATACTTTATATGTGCCAGGCAATAGGCTAAACATATAATTCAGATTATCCATTTAATTCCAAAACCCAAATGTAGAATAAGTTCCATTTTCCTCAGTATTTTGAATGAGAAAACTGAGAAATAAAGGAGTTAAGTGAGTCATTTAAGATCCACAGGTAAAAATGACAGAGGAAGGAACTGCTCCCAGGGTTTCCATGTTGTTGAATATTTATTAGACTCTTGAGGGCTATTCTATCACAGGGCTAGCTGCCCCCCTCCCCAAAATCGAGACAGAGACCTATTGGTTTATTTAAGCCAGCTTTAGGCTCAGTAACTGGGTAGGTACAATTTAACTAATTTTGTAAGCTAGTCTGCCTACCTCGCAGCTGCACTCCCCGAGTTACTGCCAATTATTCATCCTGTCTGGGCTGCACCTGCTCCGTCAGGGCCACACCTCTTTCTCCATCTTCTTCCTTCTCTCCCTCTCTCCTTCTCTCTCTCTCTCCCATACACAGGCAAACACAACAATTTAAATCTAGATTCTGTGCTTGACAGAAACAAGTGTTTTTTTTTTTTGTTTTTTTTTTTTTTTTGTCTTTCTAAGTCAGGCTTATTTCTCTTAATATAATGATTTCCAGTTCCATATATTTTTACCTGCAAATGCCATGGTTTAATTTTTTTTTCTTTATGGATGAAAAATTCCATTAGGTGTGTATCACATCATCTTTATGTATCTGCTGGTGGTCCCATCTCTTAGCTTTTGTGAGGAGCAAAACAACCAGACACAGATGTGCAGAGGTCTCTGTTGTATGTATGTCCTGCAGACATGACATCGTTTTGTTACATGGCTGTGTTATTTTTAGAAAACTGAAAGATGCCCACACCAACTTCCACATTTTCTCTCTCTTTTTCTTCAATGGTCTTACTGGTCATTCAAGAGTGTGTTGTTAAGTCTTCATATCTTGTATAGTCTATGCTATTGAGTTGTAGGTTTTCTTTTCACTGTGATTCCATGAAATATAAGAAACTACCTCAATCCCTTTGTATTTGCTAAACTTGACTTGTTTCCTAGATTGTGGTCTATTTTAGAGATGGTTCCATGGGCTACAGAAGAACGTGTATTCTGTTTCTGTGACAAAATGTTCTGTATATGTCTGCTCAGGTCATTTGGCTCTACAGTTGACTCTAACTGAGGGCTTTTGCTTATTTTTAGCTTGGATGAACTGGGTAAAGATTTAAGTGACTACTGAAGTTATTCACTATTAATTTACAAGGACATACTTTAATGTCTATTATTGTTCTTCTTATGAAATTAGGAACCTCAGTGTTTGATGTCTATGCATTTATAAGTGTATCTTCTTGATAAATTATTACCTTTATCAATATGCAGTGACTTTTCTAAAACTGCGGCTGGTTAGGATTTGAAGTGTAGTCAGCTATCAAGTAAAGCCATCACAGCTTGGGTTTTGGTGTTCATTTGCTTGAGAGATTATTGTCCATCCTTTGACTTTCAATGTGAGCATCTTTATCAGCGAAGTGTATTTATTTCATGTGGCCAAAAGATAGTTGGATCTAGAATTTTAATCTAGTCAACTAGTCTGTGACTTTTATAGGTAAGCTGAGACCATTTACAGTTAGGATTATAATCGAGAAAACTTTCTAATTCTTATCATTTTGCAGGCTATTTTGCTAGTTGGTTGGATTGCAATTTGTCTTTATTTTCTCTCCTGTTAGTTTTAGGGAACTGAGGTTTCACAGTGTTCGGCATGACAGATTTTTTCCCCCCTAGCTCTCCTGTGTTCAGCTATTCTCAAAAATTTATTTCTTCCTGTGATTTTGTGCTTGGGGGTGCCTTCCCTCTTCCTGTATGTGTAATATTCCTTTAGATATAAACTGAATTAGTGCTAATCCTGAAATGTCCCCTTCCCCATCAGTTTTAAAAGGTAGCTTTCCTGCACATAGCAACCTTGTTTATTAGTTATTTCCTTTCAGGACTTGGAGTACATCATCCCATGCTTTCCTGCTTTTAAGGTTTCTGATGAGAGATTGACATTGCAATGAGTTTGTTTTCATGAATAGGTATTTTGTTTTGTATTTTTGACATCGTGGCTATGTTATTGAGGTTCTTCTCCAATCATGTCTCCCTGGGGTTCTAAATGCCACTTGTGCTTAAATGTCTGTATCTTTCTCCAGGCTTGGGAATTGGAAGGTCAGCTTAGCTCTTTCTTCTGTCCTGTGATTTCTTGATGGTTTACCCCTGTGCTTGGACAGTGTGGTTATGTTTTTTTTTATTTTAGTCTTGTGTGTTTATTGATGCTTGAGTGTTATATTTTGGCAGGCTTGTCCTCCATCTCAAATATACTTTCATCTGTTTGATTAACTTGATTGGTGCTGCTTTCCACAGTGTTTTCTTTTTTATTTGATTGGTGGATTTTTTTTTTTTTTCATTTCCAACACTCTTTTGTGTCTTGGCCTAATATATCTTCCACTTTGCTATCTTTCCACCCTTGTTGCTAATTTTCTTATCTGTTTTGCTGACTTTTCCGTATCTTTTTTTTTTTTTAACTTTTCTCTTCAGGTCCTGGGCAAATTCACTCTGTTTGTGCTTATCTTTCATTGATTGATCTTACCAGAAAACTTTTGAAACCTGCATCTGACATTTTATCTATTCCTGTGGTCTTTGAGTTCATTAGTTGAGAGGTTATGGCCTGGCTTTTTGTGTTCCTCTGTTTCTGGGTTGTGATCAGTGTATCTGCTGGTTTTGATGTGTCTAAAAGTCTTGATCCCCGGTACCACTCAGCAAGGAGAAGCAAACTGCTTTTGGAAGTGACTTCTGCCTCTCCCCAACACCACCTGTCAGGCAGCTGTGTGGCTGAAGCTGCACTTAGTTTTATGTTTTAGTTTTGTGCATACATGTGTATCTGTGTGTGGATATGTGCACATTTGAGTTCAGGTATCCATGGAGGCCAGAGGTCACCAGGTTCTTGATGGCTACAGACAGCTGTGAGCCACGCAGCATGGGTGCTGGGAATTTAACTCAGGCCTTCTACAAGAGGAGTTCATGTTCTTAACCATCGAGCCATCTTCCCAGCCATGATGCTTACTTCTGGTTAGTGTACCATCTATTGCTTTCTCTGGTCTAGGCTCCTTTCCATTTCCTTTGTAGGTTTCTGAAGCTTTATCTCTCTGTCTTTGGAATACAGTGTATTTTTTATCATTTTGCCCTCTTTAGCAGCTTGTATAAAGACAGCTTCTATCCCACCATCTTACTAAAAGTCTCTAGAGTGATTTTTGTTTCAGATTTAAACAAAATCTAGGGTATTTACACTTACATAATGAGGTATGTTGGGGATAGGGCCCTAGTTCAAGCATCAGTTTCATTTATGTTCTATATACATCTTATGTGCATAAGCTAAATGAAATAAAAATGTATACCAGATTTTTAGTGCACTCAAAAAGTTTTGGGTCCTGAGGCATGTTGGGGTTCCAATTCCAGACATAGGGAAATTTATCCTGTAGCAGTGTATATAACCAGCCTAGGGCTTAGTGACTTCAGGTACAAGGCAGTGTTTACCTTAAAGGCCTAGTGCAGTTGAATGAGAATGTGTCTGTATGTCCAGGATCCTCTTTACGATGGAAGTTTGATCCAGTGTATGTACCCACTATGGCTTCATTAATGCCCCTTTCACTCCTTTCCCCTTCGCCTCTGCCCCTCATGTCATACACTCTTATGGCCTTGGATCCTTTCCCTGAGGTCAACCTGTAATTTTTAGCTAGGGAAGGAGTAACTCCCATATTTGGCAAGTGACATGAGGAAGTGATTGGCAAGGCCACCCTGTGTCTCCCCAGTCATATTCCAGGAACAAGGGCCTGAACCCCCCTACTCCAAGTCAGAAGTCTCGACTCCAAGTGCTTTTCTTAGGACTGATCATCAGGAAGTCTGGATCTATTTCCCAAGCACAGTTTACATTGTACTGTGCCTGTGACGCTTCGTGTGTTAAATTATTCTAGTAATTGTTTCTATATAATTCTATGTTCTTTGATGAAGAATCAATGGTAGTCTGAAAGATAACGCAGAAAAATATCAGTGTAAAGTGTTCTATGAAAGACTGGATTCCAGACTTAGCTTTGACAACAGACATAGATTTAGATTTAGATTATACTAGATTTAATGAAAGCAGAGTTGGGTGCTTTGTTCTTTCTGAGTTCTGACATCACAAATGTTTGCACACGTCAGGTTTACTTATGAATACTCCAGGAGGCATGCTGAACTGTCTACACCGGAGCTTCTAAGAATTACTAAAGTGTATAAGGATCTCCTGGAAGATTGCTGCAGCAGAGAAAGCCCGGCAGCTTGTTACCGCCATGCGGTAGGTCCTGTCTACGCCGATCAGAGGACTGAAAACCCACGGTTTTTATTAAAGCTTTTAGAGTATATTATATATAATTATATAGGTAACATATATAATTATAATATATTATATATAATAATACATAATCTCATATCATGTGTTATACCTAATATAGTTCTATTATAATTGTAATATTAGATTAAGTATTTCTTTCATCTTTCTTTCCCTGCATTTGCATAGGTCTCAAAAATAAAATTGAAAAAGTACACTTCTTAGGAAGTGTTTGGACCATCTATTGTTTAGTATAACAGGAAAGTTTTTCATTTTGTATTGAATGGTGCTATATTTGTTTGATATTACGGTCACAAGTTTAGTGACTTAAAAGAACAGAAGTTTAGTCTCCCCGGGGTGTCAGTGTATGAAACAAACCACACAGGGCTCAAGTCAAAGCAGTCAGAAGGCTGTGTTCTCTTCATGGGCTCCAGTGAGCCTGTGACTTCTGGCTTCTAGCACAGAAAACTTTTCTGTTTGTGAGCTTGGCGTTCTCTCATAATGATGTGGTTTAGTCACCTGCCCTCCTACTATGTGTGGACACAGAGCATTTTAGTCATGTGTTTACAGTCTTGTAAGACATCCATAAGTGAGAATCTCATTCTACACATTTTCTCTAATATTTGTAGTGTTTTTCTCAGGATAAATAACCAGGTGAGGGGTAAGGAGGTAATGGGGTCAAAATATACACGCTTTTAGAAATATTTGACACAAGCTGCTGAGTTAACTTCTAGAAGGTTGGGGTTTTTTTGTTTGTTTTTTTGGTTTGTTTGTTTGTTTTTGGCCAGAGCTGATTCCCAGAGCCGTGCTTGAGCAACTTGTTTCAATATCACCTTTGCCAACATTTGACACACAAGTTCGGTTTAATAGATTTATGTGTAAAAAAGTATTCACTTGATTTATAAAATTACATTAAAAATTCCCTATACAAAGGGGTAGATATGATAAAAATAATTGTATGAAATTCTCAAAAGCTAGAACAAAATTCTCACATGAGTTTTGACATGCTGTTTTAAATTTTCCATAAACGTTTGTTTGTGTTTGCTTTTAGGTTTGTATTGAAAACAATAGCTTTTCATATCTCATCATATACCTATATAACATAGCTTCATGTTTTATAGGTGTATTTGACAGCGTTTTCACAATTCCTTTGTTGTGTACTACTTTTGCTTCATTTTATATTTTTCTTTCACATATTATGAAAGTCAGTTTATAATCAATCATTCAAATTTAGGCAATACAATAAGAAAACTGGTTTGTTTGTTTGTTTGTTTGTTTTTTCTATTTATGCTCTGTTACTGTTCCTCATCTTTGGATGAATCGTGGTACTGGAAAATTCTCTTTTTCCATGGGGACACATTTGGCCCACTATGTCCATGTGTTGCAATCTGGTTCTCTCTCGCAGCCCCAGGAAAATGCCCAATTTAGGCTGTGAGCAAAAATGGTCAAGCAAATAACTGAAGACACCTATGGGAGATTTCAAGTTCCAAACCTAAATGCTGGGAAAAGGTACAGATAAAGACAAATGCACCGACAATGTCCTACAGCAACGGTTATTAGTGAGTCACCCTAGGAAAGCTGCTTAAGTCCACAAGGCTGCGTTCCTTTATAGCGAAGACGAGAACAGCTTCTCTGGCCACTTCCAGATAAAGATCAAGTACACATATTGTCAAGATTAAGTTTAAATTATACCCTGTAAGTCCTAGAGTCCTAAAAAAATATGAGGTATTTGAATTGTTTATCTCTAGTGGAATCATTCAAATTCTTGCACATACATATAAAGCTATGCTCAATTTGGTGAATGTATGCACTAATTACAGGTTGGACATAATCTGTAAACAACAACAACAACAACAAAAAACAAGCTGACCTGTGGTTTCCTTCAATTTTATTTAAAATGCTTGTAATCAGGATTGTTTTTAATTTTCAGGAGGATAAATTCAATGAGACAACTGAGAGAAGCTTTGCAATGGTTCAACGGGAATGCAGACACTTCCAGGAGCTGGGGAAGGATGCTCTGAGATCCCAGTAAGTTGTCTGCATAACTGGGCTAACGCATGTGGTCGGGATCAAATAATCTCTCAAATATAGAATATTAGGTCAGTCTTTCAGTTACATCAGTTTCATCAATTCTGAAAAAACAAAACAAAGCAAAACAAAACAAAACAAAAGATTGAAAAGTCAAGAATTTACACTGAGCCTTTTCATGAATCTTTGACCAGAAGTAAGGCACAAATGGAAAAAAAAAAAAAAAAAGAATTCTAGATAACATTCCTGTAATGCTTTAGTGTCTGTGAACTTGGGTTCCTCACCTCCAAATTAGGATTCTTGGATTCTCTCCTATGTGAGAGGACAATGGAGAAATTTTCAACTGTTTCCAGGAAAACCGATGGTTGCTCAGGGATCAAGTGATAATTACAGAATTATCAGTGGATTTGTTTAACAGTGTAGTATTTATCCTTTTGGTACTTTTATGAGAATTCTAGAATTATATACAGTTGATTTAGATTTAAAAATAACTATCAGTGCTGGGTTTATTAGAACTCAACGTCTTCAGTTCAAACAGAACACAGTTTAAAGTGTGACTTCATTATTCCTGAAATGCTGCTGTTCACTGTGGTGCCAACCCCAGCCCATGTAAAGATCTTTGTAAAAGTAACCTTTACTCTCCTGTTTCAGCTGTTGTCTGGGAGGCTCACTGCCTCAGCCTGCTAACCTACGCCTAGTCCTAGAAGCTTCTAGGCTCTGTACAATCTACCCTAGGCCTAGAATGTTTTCAGCCTCTGAGACTTACTGCTTAATAGCTCACCCTTATTTGTTCTTACTGAGTTCTGGGCTGGCTGGATCAACTCAGCTATTCTGGGTCAAAGTCCTCTCCCAGCTACTGTATACAATCCTGCTTTTCTCTCTGCCTCTGAGTTGCTCTGCTTGGCCTCATACTAACTCAAGCAATCTGCTTTAATCTCCTGGCTTTTTCTCATTCTCTGGCTCATTTGGTCTTCACGTGAGTTCTCTCTCTGCAACCTGTCTCTTGTTACTGTCCTGATAAACTGCCTTCTCTCTCTCTTTCATTGCCTTTTAAGTAGCTTCCCATTCCTCTCTCTTCTTGTGAGAGCTTAGTATTTTTTTTTCAGTTTTTAAAAATTTTTATTTTATTTTTATTAATTACAGTTTATTCACTTTGCATCCCAGCTGTGGGTATTTTTATTCTGTCAAATCTTTCTCTGATTTGCCACCTTTTTTGCCATTCAATTAGACATCACTTTCAAACATGGGTGCTTCCTTCTACAAACTAACTTTATCTTCATCGTTTGGTATTAAAGGCCTGTACCACCATGCCTAGACCTAAGATTTTCTTTACCTGACACTTGCTCTATACTTGCTCTATACCTGTTCTGAAGCAGGGTCTCTGTGAGTCACTGGAGTGTTAGCAGCACTGTAAAAGGAACTTTTATTCTCCTGGTTCGGTTGTCTGGGAGGCTTACTGCCTCCGTCTGCTAACCTAGGCCTAGTCCTGGAAGCATCTAAGCCTCCGTACAATCAAACGTAGGCCTAGAATGTTTTCAGCCTCTGAGGCTTACTGCTGAATAAACTCACTTTTTTTTTTTTTTTTTTTTTTTTTTTTTCCTGGACTCTGGGCTGGCTGATTCAACTCAGCTGTTCTGGCTCAAACTCCTCTCCCAGCTGACTTATTCAGTCTGGCCTCTCAGCCTCTGAATTGCTCTGCTTGGCCTCAAACTAACTCCAGCAATCTTCCCTAATCTCCTAGCTCCTTCTCAGTCTTTGGCTCATTCGGTCTTCAGCTGAGTCTAGCTTGTTCTTTCTCTTCAACCTGTCTCTGAAAGACTTTCCTGGTAAAACTGCCTCCCCTCTCTGTCTGTCTCTGTCTGTCTTTCTGTCTCTCTCCCATTGCCCCTTAAGTAGCTTCCCTTTCCTCTCCTCATGAGAGTTGGTCATATCCTACTCTGTCAAGTCTTTCTCTGAATTGTCACTTTTTTTCTGCCACCCAATAAGACATCACTTCCAAACATGGGGCTTCCTTCTACAAACTAACTTTACCTTCATTGTTTGGGATTAAAGGCATGTTCCACTACACCTGGACCTAAGCTTTTCTTTGCCTGAAACTTGCTCTATACCAAGCTGGCCTTGAACTCGGATCTGCTTGCCGCTGTCTCCTGGATTTAAAGGCATGTTTGTATTCCAGCAGGATCACACAGACCTAGAAAGTCTTTGGATGTGATCTCTTGTCAGAACAGCCATGTTCTGAATTAAAGTTCCTCTACAGATCTTAGTTCTCTTTATCTTATTCCTAACATGTCTGTCAAATGTTCCTTTAAGACTATTTAGTGTCAACACAAAATATTCCAAGAATTTTACTTACCGGCCAAGGTCATTCCTGCCAAGGACGTTCTATCATGGCAGGAAGGCCAGGCTGTTTTGGCACTGACTCTCATGAGATTGGTAGTCGCTGTTCAAAGGTGTATGTGCTTCATCCAGAGCCGAACAGATGTGTGTTCTTTCAGTTACCTTGCCAAGTTCACCAAGGCAGCCCCTCAGCTCTCTGTGGAAGAACTGATCTCCCTGAGTAAGGAAATGGCGGCAGCGCTGGCAACCTGCTGCACCCTGAGTGAAGAGTTTGCTTGTGTCGATAACTTGGTGAGTACAGCCCCGGGTGCCTGACCATCCCCTTGCTCATTTTAATTCGCATT